ATCCCAAACAAAAAAGTTAGGTATATCAAATTATTGATATATTGCATTAAAAATACTTTAATTCAGAAAAGAAATTATAATGATAACAGAAACAGAAGGGTCTGGTTTCTCAGGATTCATATGCAGTGGATATTTGGGCTGGGCCCCTTTTGGTGAGCTGTTGCATCATGCTGTGTGGAATGGAGATGATCAGCCTGTAGTTATGTTTAGATGTAATGAAAACCCAACTTGTTTTGATGATTATTTTACTTTCTGCATATTTAGCTTTTTAATTATTATTTTAGATGTTGTCATCTGCAGGCTAATTATCAGGAGAGGAAATAAAGTCTCCTTATAGTTCACTGAATGAGTTTCACTTTTTGAAATGAGAAAAAAAATATATATATATATTTTTTACATATTTATTTATTCCACTTATAGTAAAATATATTTAAAAATACAGCTTTACAAGTAAAGCTACTCTTTTTTTTTTTTTTTTTTTAACCATTTTGTTTCTCAAGGCTGCACAGACGTTCACCATTGGTTCACATAATACAAAATGACAAGCCTCTCTAAGTGGCGACACATAAAAGGAAGCTGCCTTTTGTAGAGTAATGAAAGACCTTGGTTCACAGTGAAAGAAAAGCCCAGAATGAAACTGTGACAATTAATTCTTAGAAAGGGACAAAATGGTATGGATTATAGGACTAAAACATGCAAATCACAATTATATTTTCATGTCATCTGTATTAAATCCTTTGCTTTAGCGCTTGCAGCTTAGTCTTGACTTTGTCACCATGTTCTTTGTTCTTTGGTCTAAAATGAAACACATTAGGAGATGATGCAAAAAAAAATTTAAATTTTCCTTTCTGCATCTGCATGTTAGTTTGATTTCCTCTGAGGGGAGGTGGTACTAGTAGATTCAGCATTCAGTTGTGTTCTTCTTTCAGAGATAAACACTGCTGGTCATTTAAAATGCAGAGGAAATCTGAACTAAATCTGAACTCAGGTAAGAATTATTTGCTCTTGACCGACTCTCGCTGCGTTTCCGAGCAGAGTAATAAGCCACGGTAAATTAACATCGATTCCATCCACATCCACAGCTATTACATAATCTGGGTTTAGCTAAGATTAACATATATGCAATAATCTGGTTTTACTCTCGCTTAAAACGACTGCAAGAAGATCCGTTTTTTATTATAGTGGGTATCCCAGGAAACAAGAATACTTCGTTTCTACAAAAAAAAAAAAAAAAACAGCTGTAAGCTGCTTTTCGGCTGCAGAAAGCTTTTCCTGGAACCAAGGCAGTTTTCAGGGCCTTTTCTTCCACATCCATCCTTTCTCTAGAAGGGAGCAGCTGAGATGAAAGCTGTCAAAAACAGACAGAAAAGAGAACGAACTGTAGATGTTTGTCATTAAAGATACATATTATGTTATTTGAAGGTTTTTACTTAAAGAAAAGAAATGTATGATATATTTTGTAATCAAATTCTACTCTCTTCCTTGTTTATTCAGGGTGTTCCCTGTCTTTAGATTAGTGATATGGACCCACCAGCAACCCTGCAGGACCAACATCCTCTCAGCACCAGCAAAAAAGTTCTGGACCTCATGGAGGAAACATGTGCCACTGATGGATTGCAATTAATTTTCTAGACAATGGGTTGTGCAAATACATGCAAATATATTTCTATACCTTTTATATCAATTAGATGATGTAAGTCTTTGTGGATTTTTTTAAATCAACCCTTTCAACCATTTACTGTTTCAACAAAACAAAAGGACAAAATATAATCACGATTACTGTACCATCACCAGAGTTTCTATCTATAACCAAACATTTTTTACCCCCATTTATATCCTTAAAGTTCTCCAATGTTTTAGTTTTTACTGGACTGCATTTGAAGCAATGTTGATTAGAAACCTGAATAAAGCATTTATTTCAGCCCTTCAGGGCAGCCACAGTTAGACTAGTTAATGAGGGATTCACAGCTTGTCTATTCAGGTAACGGCCATCATGCTACAGCCCTAAGGGTTACTCTGTAGGAATCCTACCAGTGTGAAAGCCATGAAGCTACTGCAGAATTCTCATCAAACGTAACCTTCTGGTACAAGGTGTTAAAAATTCAACAGTAAATCAGAGAAGTTATTGTGATGCTAAAAGATAAGACAGGGAAAAGGGTGAGCTCAGAGTGTCCGAATATGTAGGGGTGACGTTAAGACCGATGAGCTGCACATGTGACATTCTGCAGGAGAGTAGATAAAAACGGACACAGACTGAACCTATACAGCATTAAAACACTAAGGCATTAGGAATTCGCATTTAGATTTTTTTACTTCCAAATTTTTCCGCGGCTGTATTGCACCCAGGCTACATTCATCCTTTTTTGCAACAAATGTACTCTACAGTCTTATATAAAAAAAAAAAAGAAAAATCTTATAAATATCAATTAGTACTGTATACTCTATCAGCTCATAATTTTACTACGCCAGTTCAACTTTTTTTAAATTTGGAACAAAGTTATACAAAATTTAGAAACTGACAATTTACTGCTGACCAAAACATGACAGAAATCATATATTTTATTTATTTTCTTGACTGAAGAGAACCACAAACCAACAGAAATAAGACTCTAAAACTTGCAGCCATTTAGTCATAATGTGATAAAGTAGTCAATTTTAAATCAAATATCCTTTTCTCATAGGTTAGATGTACTCTTTAAAAAAGCTTCATTTTTTTAAAGTGCACTAGTTTAGACCTCAATTCTGCTGTTTCGTTCTGTCGGATGTTATTCGTTGTATTTATCAGAATATTGGTTGTCCTAAGTAAGAGTGGTGCTCAGCAAATATTATTATGTAGAAGAATTGGGTTAAACATGAACACAATTTTTGGTTTAATTTTTGGATAAAAACTGAAAAAATGAACAATAGCTGGCATTAATCAGATCCATTAAATGGAACCATAGATGGTTCCAGGTTCATCAGAGGTTGTCCATTTATAATATGTTTGGGTTTATAAATTCTTGTTGTTACTATGTCGTTATGGTGATGTTTAAAGGAATGTAAAACTTCACAGGAATGTTCAGAAAGACAAAAGAACAGCGAGGAAAAGCTACAGGTTCTTTTCATCCATCTGTTGGAAACAAAAGCTGGAGCAGTGGGGGTGAATGCACAGAGCTCGGTTCAAGGAATGCAGGGAAATTTTTTTTATAACGATTTACTTCATCACAAATCTTTAGAAAACATGCAAATGATTCAAACAAAGAGAGCGTTAACATTCTTTGTGGATTCACATGACCATGAATGGACTTACATCCTCAGTCGCACCTGGGATGCAATATGCACATGTTAACATGCGTCTGCTAAATGCTGCTGGTCATGGAAAACGCGTCTCTTTTTCAAATAACAAATACTAATTATTCAGGGAGAAAAACTTCTAAATAGGACGAGGTGAGGTGTTAAAGTTTTGCCCTGGTGATTCGACACCTCTGGCTTTCACCTACAAACACAACAACTTCATTGTGATGTGGAGCAGCGTCCTAATGCATATTCAGGCAGCTCTGCAGAAAAGGCAAGAGAATTTTGAGCCGTTAACATGAATGTTTTTAAGGCAAAAGAGTTGAAAAGAATTTCACAGCTCAGTGGAAGGCACTCACTGTCAGTCGAGTGATGACTCATGATTTATTGTAGAAAGTAATT